TCATCAATCAATCCTTTTATTTATGTGATAGGCCTGCATTAAAAATAGACATTTACCATAAATTAAAGGTATCTTATATTATTAGATATATTATTATAAAACATGCTTTGGTTAAGGAGTTATTGATACTTCAAGTGCAAAATGATAATATAAAACCATGATAAAAATGCACTTTTAAGTACTAATCATAGGACTTCAGATAAAACCTTCTAAGTTCAGACAAACCTTGCAAGCAGAGAAGTTTATTGATAGGTTGAATGAAAAAAAAATTATTTTTGAGAATAAGAAAATCCAATGAATACAAGGGTGGAGATCATTGTCATTAGATTGAAGGGGGAAAGACAAGGCAAACATAGGATCAATGATTAAGAGAAGATAAAAAAACTATTCCTTTTTTTTTTGAAACTCTTAAAATGTATATAGATGTCTCTGCATGCTGAGGCAAGAAGAAGGTATATTGATGGTTACACTAATAATTTTTATCATTTAATGGCTCAAAATGATAAGTCAAAAATGAAAAATTAGTTAGTTGCAACGCGCCTAAATGGATTACAATAGCCCATCCAAAACATGTTGTGTTTACAATATTTATAAATAGTCTTGGAAGCTTATTACATAACCCTCCGAATAGAAACAAAATAGGTAGCTAGGGCAATTAATAAACACTTTCATTCTTACCAAAATACTATAATGACATAATAATAATTAGGAAATAAGAACTCAACTTAAATCAGTTCCTTAACAAACCACATGCCAAGGCTTTGGCTCTAGTTTTAGATCATGTAAATTTGGATGTGGCAAGCGAGGGCATCATTCTACAAAGTATTGTAAGCTTGAGAGTCATCCAGGCAATAATATGCTTATAAAAGAGCTTACAAAGAAGACTGACCCAGTTTTCAATAATTTAAAGACTAGTGTAGATATTTTTTATGGAGATGCCAATGCTATACTAGTTATCTAAAATAGCATTTTAGTTTCCATAGGTGATTTGGATAAGGATTGACTATCCCTATCTTCTACTAAAATTGAACCATTAAAGATAATGTATGTAACTTGATAATTGAAGAAATTATTGGAAAGTGATGAAGATATTACAACTCAAAATAGAGAATTAGCGAAAGCATTGAAAAAAAATTAACTAAAAAAAATCACCCCAAACCCTATAAGTTGACATGGATGAATTGAGATAATTAGATAATCATGAATAAACATTTAATTGGAATCTTGATGTGTGATATAAACTTCACAAAACTATATATTGTATGCTTGGATAGCTAGTTGAGTAGATTTACCAATAATCAAACTATGAATTATTAAAAATAAATAAATATGATGCTCAAATATTTAAGATATACCTTAGATAATGAGCTACATTATATTGGATACCCAATGATACTAGAAGGTTAAAGTGATGCAAATTAGATATCTACTATTAAGAATTTGAAACCCACTAAGAAAATATGCATCACAATATCTATAATGAAATCAAATTTATTGCTTTGCATAAAGCTAGAGAAAAAAAGCTACGTGACAACATAATTTCTTTGAGGATATTTCATGTAAACCAAAGATAAAGCCAACAATTTGTGTTTGTTACAATAGTCGATTAACAATTGGTAAAGATTACAGGTAATGTGAATAATACTAAGTTTGGACATTTACATCATAGACATATTATTGCTAAATATGTACTCTCAAATAAAATTATTTCCATTAACTATATAAAATAAAAGAAAAATATTATAGATCTGTTTATAAAAGATTTAATTAGAGACCTTATATATAAATATTCATCAAGAGGAACAAGTTTAAGACCTTTAAAGATGAAAAAGTATCATAATAATTACCCTACTTAGTTGATTAAAAAACCTAAGATCTTCATTTAGATGAAAACTTAAGTCATGTGGCATTCTTATTACCACTCAAAGATGATAATTTCCTACCTTCTTCTATGATGAAAAGGGTGTTAATTATAGCATGATAAATGTGAGTTACGTTCTTAATGATTTTTACATCTTATTTTATTTATTTTATTAAACGTAGCATATCATAGTACTTCTAATAGAATATAATCTATGAGTGAAAAATATAATTGTTTCTTTAAAAGTTTTACAAGATGAATTCTCTAAAACACTTATAAAATTAGGAATTGTTAAGGAACAAAATGAACACAATCATAAGAACAAAAAAAAAATTCTTGGAATATAACTACACGAGTATTATCATCTTAGTCAGGGTCTTTTTGCTCTTTTGCTCTTGAAAGTGTCATTTTTTTTAGTCTTTTTTATTCTTGTTGCTTCTTATATCTTGAGCCATAGGATCTTTAATTATAGAGAAAAATTCAAGTTGATTTTATTGGTTCTTAAACTTTGAAAGGTAATACAACCTCCTTTAAAGTTGTTAGAATGACGGGAAGTTATTTGTAAAATGGTTGTATGCATCAAGTGTGACATACAATTTATTTTTAAGAACAAATAATTGAATCTATAACAATAATGTTTATATTACTTCATTTAAATTTATTCAATAAATAAATATATCATATTTACTTTGTAATTGCATAAATGAAATAGCAATTTAGTTTAATACTTTAGACCATTAAGTTTAGTATATTACATCAAAGAACCATCTCAACCAAAAAGTTTAAATTTTTAGGTAAAATATCAAGATATGATTTATATTATTCTTTAACACACCCCTTAAATGAAAGCTCTATTCTTTAACACACCCCTTAAATGAAAGCTTTTTGAACTTGAACTTGAACTTGTACAAACCCATAGTATCATGTGCTTGATTTTTTTATTACATAAATAGGGATGGTGAGATTCAAACTCGTGACCGTTTGATCATTAATATTTTAATATCATGTCAAAAAACCATTTCAATTCAAAAACTGAAGCTTTTAGATGAGGTCTCAAAATATAATTTATATTATTTTCTAGATTTTATATATTGATGTGCATGGTAGTAAATTGAATTAATTTAGTTACAGGTTTGAGATTTAACCGAATTGTTAAATTTGCAAGCACTATAATGAGACAATTTTATTACGATTAATCTTAACAAATTATAATTCAGCTTACGAAACGAAAGCAAGCAAGGTTCCTGACTCCCGAGGGATATCATTAATTTCATAAATTGTGAGCTAGAAAGTAGAAGGACTAAGATTTTCTCTCATTCAATATTTTTTCCAATTGCAAAAATATATTTACAACTATTGTTACAATCTGACTTAGTTTTTTCTCCGATGCAGTAACTTAAAGGTTGGCCGACTCTTGTTACAATGTGAAAGTTCATTTAAAACTATTCGCTTTGTGAATCAAACGGCACGGTAAGAGTATTTTTGTTTTCTTCTAAAATTATAGATGGGACTAAATACAAGACTCAGAAGCCTAGCTACTATAAGGTGTCAAAATTAGAACATTTGCAGGGGCACGCATAGTTGGAAGGCGTGTCTTGCGGAGCATATGAATTAATTGACCGGAGCGGCGTCCCTATAAAAACCTCAAAGCGTGCGTGAAGATATTATGCCTACCAGCTTACTCATTGCTTCCCTAATATACCAGCTGCTAATACCAAAGGCTGCCATGAGATCCAGTACCTGTTTGTGCTGAATCAAAACGTAGGTTGTTGTTGGGCATTTTCGGCAGTGGCAGCCATGGAAGGAATCAATAAGCTCACAACTGGTAAATTGATCTCCCTTTCAGAGCAAGAGGTTGTTGATTGTGACACCAAGGGTGAGGATCAAGGCTGCAACGGTGGTCTGATGGATGATGCCTTCAAATTCATTGAAAAAAACAAGGGTCTAACAACTGAAGCTAACTACCCATACAAGGGAACACATGGCACTTGCAACACTAAAAAGGCTGCCAACCACGCAGCAAAGATTACCGGGTTTGAAGATGTTCCAGCAAACAGTGAAGCTGCACTGATGAAGGCCGTTGCCAAGCAACCAGTTTCTGTTGCTATCGACGCTGGTGGATATGATTTCCAATTCTACTCGAGTGGCATCTTTACAGGAAGTTGCGGCACTCAACTAGACCATGGTGTCACTGCTGTTGGATATGGAGTCAGCGATGGATCAAAGTATTGGCTAGTGAAGAACTCATGGGGTGCACAATGGGGGGAAGAGGGATACATACGAATGCAGAAAGATGTATCCGCAAAGGAAGGACTATGTGGCATAGCTATGCAAGCCTCTTACCCCACTGCCTGATCAGATGTTCCAATATCTAAACATACTATTATTGATGGTTATTTCTGCCATGTAAGATAATGTGCATGCTTGCTTCTAGTAATCTCTTCTTTTTCTTATTTCATATCTCAGAAAGAACTCGTAGAAGCGCCTCCGATGCTAATAACGAGTCTGTATATGCTATTGTTACTGGGGAACATATACCTGAAAACTATCTGATTTTTATCTGTAATATATGTTATTTTTATGTCTTAGCATAATTTCTTCAAGGAAACCATCCTTTACATTCTCTCCCTTTTTCACTTTGTTCTACAAACTTGCACTTCCATAAATAACAAACAAATAATTGAAAATCCTAAACCAGACAGACAAACAAGACTTGCATTGATATACACCAAAGCATGCATAATGAAATTCTTAAATCTTGTACATAATTTGCCAGAATGAAATGAAGATGGACTAGCTACCAAAACAGCATCTAGAAGACAATTTGATCTCTGTAAAAGTTGTAGCTTAGAGGTGTGCTATAACAAGATGTTGAATTGTCGCTTGTAACCAATTCTATATTGTAAGAAAAGAGATCATAGAAAATGTGAAAAGTGAAGCAGCAAAAACTTCCATTCAGACCAAAACCAGAAAGCAAACTTGTATTTAGTATTGAATAACCTTTTTTAACAGTTTGTATAACTTTGATTGTATGTAAAGAACAAGTACAAATGAAAAAATGAAAGTAACTATTTTCCGGCTGTATTTGATATCTATTGAATAAAAATGAATTAATTCTATGAGCTGTATAATGTGATTCATGGAGAAAAATAAGCTGGGCTAAAATAATTGCCTCCATGGTTTCGGTTAAGAATGCTTGCAATTAGCAAGCACATAGTCATCTAAGAACTGGCTGAGCTGAGTAGCATACAGTTTTGGATCATTTCTGAAACGATCAACATGAGGTGTGAACACAAAGTTGCAGGCCCTAACCTCATGCCCAGCCCTTCGCTGCTTCGCTATAAATGATTCCACAGACCCTGCAGGAATGACTTCATCTGCAGAGCTATATATATACAACTGTGGACAGCTTGGTTGTCCTGATGATAATAAGCTTAGCACATCCGAGAGCCTCCTGCAATGTAATAATGAAAGTTATATAAGCTTCCTGTCATGGAGAATCTATCAATGGTAATAATGATAAGAATTAAATTATTAAGCATTTATCAACGTATGGTTTCAGATGTTTCTGTTTTTGGTAAGAGGGTATAACCTGTTCACCATAGGAAGGTTGAAAATCACATCAAAGAACTTCTCCAGAACGGATAATAAAGCTGATTCAGCTATGGCGGGCTTGGGTTCCATGAATGTTTTGCTGCCAACTAATAACTCCATATCTGACTCTTTTGAGCTTGCATGCACTTTCGCAGCAACACTATGCTTTTTCGGAAAAGCTGCAGAGAAGTCTGGTGCCCAAACCTACACAAAGGGAGAAAAAAGACCGTAAATATTTTCATCTCATAATCAAACAAACAATTCATGTTTCAAGGTTCAACTTATGTTATTAATTAAATAAAAAATTATCAATTAAAAAATACATAATAATTTATATCAAAGTTTTAATTTTAACAAGTAATCATGTTTAATTATAAACATGAAATAAATAACAATATAAAAATTAATAAAAAACAGAAAGTATTTATACTAATCCTCTAGCATATAAAAAAAACCAATGTTCAAGGGAATCCTACTGATATCCAACAGGTAAAATATCATAATTATCTGAATATAAAAAAAAAACATACTAAAAAATAACTCGAAAATAATATACAATATATTTAATATACTTAACTTAGGATCTAACCCATAACCTTATACATTTAGGAATAAAATGTAATTATAAACTGGAATCGATCTACCCAATTGATCCCAAACATAATCTAAACTAACTAAGGGTGTATTTGGTATTGCGGTAGCTGTTATGGTTGTGGTTTGGAAAAAGTTGTTTTATAAAAAGTACTTTTAGTTGAGGTTGGTTTAAAAAAATAGGTGTTTGGTTAAAACTGTGGTTGAAATTGAGGTTGAAGAAAAAGTAGTTTAATGTTTTTGGTTAAGAATGCTTTTAAAATTAAAGTTATAAAATAATTTTTTTAAAAATATATTAATATTAATGATTTTTAATTTAAATATTATGGATTTAATTATTGCTATTTAATCATGAAATAAATCATACTTTATATAAAATATTTTTTATTATTCCATGAAACCATTTACAATTTCATTACGTATGAAATACATCTGACAAGAACTACAGTTTTCATAATTTTTTGGGTAAAACTGTGGTTGAAATTGAGGTTGAATAAAAAATAGTTTAATATGTTCAGTTAATAATACTTTTGAAATTAAAGTTATAAAATAATTTTAAAAAATATATATTAATATTGATAGTTTTTAATTTAAATATTGTAGATTTAACTATTGTTATTACATCATGAAATAAATAATACTTTATACAAAATAATTTTTATTGTTCAATTAAACTATATACAATTCCATCACATATGAAATACATCCAACAAGGACCTCAGTTTTTTTGGTTTCTTAAGCGTGTAACAATATCAGGTAAAATATAATCAGGAACAAAATTGGGATTGCGATTAAATTCTTCAAATGCTGCGTTATTAAGTGATCCTTGTCTAATTTATGTAGTGTCATTGAATAATATTAAACACTAGTTTTTCGAATAAAATACAATTAAAAAATAAAAATAATTTTTATTTTACTGGGTTGGACCTAGTTCAATGCATTTTGAGTTTTGAACCGGAACCGGTCCAACCGGAACAGTGTAGCATGCTACACTGTACATGCTAATTAAAATTAGTGTGAACAGTGTGCACAAAGCAGCAAAATGCTGCCTTTTCTTTTCCTGCGTACATGGGACCCATACATAGTAAAATGTGTTTTTTTATTTACCAAACGGGTTGCGTCTGTGTTTTGTTTAAAACGCAGATGCAACCTCGTTACCAAATAGAATCTAAGCCTAAAAGAATTATCTAACCTCACTTTTAGGTCAATCGGTCGACTGAAACCATCCAGGAAAAATCAGTATACCAAAATACAATACACCAACTGGTCTATTGGTTCTACCTAATCGGTGATTTAGAAAAAATCGATCGACCAGTTCATCATGATTTTAGATTGCTCATCACCAGCCTCAATAATGGTAGATCTCCAAATAAACCCAAAATCTTAAAAAATCATAACAAATCAATAAACTTATATCAAATAACCTATAATACTTTAACCCATCATATTATAATCAACTAATTCATCAAACACATTCAATTCCTCAATTAATACTTAAAACACAAATTCAAACCCTAAACCTTGACAAAACCAAGAAATCAAGGCTAAAAACCATAATTACACAAATTAAATCATAAACCTTACCTTAAACACTTAATCTCCACAATCCTCTTCATTTTCTCTTCTTCCTCTCCTTATTGCCACTTCTCTTTCTATCTAAAATTAGATTTTTTTTTTAACCTTTTATTTATACTTATCAATCTTTTATTCAATTACCTTAATACCTTTCATCTATTTCCACCTAATTCTAAGCCTCTAATGGCATTATTGTATTCTCCTATTTATTCTCTATTTATTTTTTAGAAAATCATACTCTTCCCCACTTTATGAAAGTTTTGTCCTTAAAACTTAAAAGAAATGATTGAATACTTCCCAAGACTGTCGAAAAGATGAGGATACTCATTGTGCGTCCTCGAGCTTCTATGTCGCTTCCTAGTGTGAATGACCTTCCACTTCTCCTTCATTGAAGCTATATCTTTCGATTTAAATTTCCTCACTTGTCAGTCCACTATAACTTCCGGTTACACCTCATAAGTTATACCATCTTTTAACTTAATTGGCTGAACCTCTAACATATGAGATGGACCTGACATGTACGTTTGTAGCATAGAAACATGAAATACTATGGGTATAACAGATAAGTTTGATAATAGTGCTAACTTATAAGCAACTACTCCAACTCTCTCTAAAATCTCATACAGTTTAATGAATCGAGGATTTAATTTGTCTTTCTTTCTAAAACTGAAAGTTTTTAGTTAGTGATACCTTCAAGAACACACAATCACCTACTGAAAACTCTATATCATGCTTCCTCTTATCTGTATAACTCTATTGAAAACTCTATATCATGCTTCCTCTTATCCACATAACTCTATTGAAAACTCTATATCATGCTTCCTCTTATCTGTATAACTCTTTTGTCTACTTTGAGCTGTTTGAAGTTTCTTCCTAATTACCTCTATCTTTTCTAAAGTAATCTAAATCAATTGTGGCCCCATTATTCTTTTCTCACCAACCTCAAACTAACAGACCGACAATCTACACTTCTGACCATACAAAGCCTTATAACACATCATCTTTATGCTATTTTGATGACTAGTGTTATAAACAAATTTCACTAATGGTAGGAACTTATTCCAACCAACTTTAAAATCCATAACACAAGCCCTTAACATATTTTTCTAAAATCTGAATGGTCCTTTTAGATTGACCATCTATTTGAGGATGAAAAGTTATACTCAATTGCACTTTAGTACCCCTACCTTCTTGGAACTTCACTCAAAATCGTGATGTAAACTACGAACCTCTATCTAAAACTTTCGAGATTGACAACTCCATGCAATCAAACAATCTTGCTAATAAACAATCCGCCAACTTCGCATACCCATAAGTATTCTTAACTAGAAGAAAATGAGTTGATTTTGTCAAATTATCAATAATCACCCACATTGAATTGTAACTCTCTTGACTCTTAAACAATTTTGTCATAAAGTCCATTATGATCCCACTACAAGATTTTATAGTTTTACGGATGAAAAAATTTCATCGGTGATTTTTTTACCGACGTCATCACCGATGGATTATGTCCGTCGGGTTACCTTTTGTCGGTGATTCAACATTCCATCGCTATATCGGTCAGCAAAACAAAAAACCATTTGCCGATGGTTTTTGCAAACAGAATTTACACGAAAAAAAAAAGATTCCTGCTTGAATAAACCGATGGATTTGTATTCCATCGATGATATCGTGATTTATTGATGGAAACTAACCATCAGTAGGGCTATCGGTGAGTGTATGAAATACCGACCGAATATATCCATCTGTAAATTTGTCGGTAAGTGTGGCAGTTACTGTCAAATACTAACGGAGGGTTTCATCGGTAAGTCGGTCAATGAGTGTATGAAATACCGACCGAATATATTCGTCTGTAAATTCATCGGTAAGTGTGGCAGCTATTGTTAAATGCCGACGGAGTAAATCCATCGATAATTCGATTGGTGAGTGTTTAAAATACCGACCAAATGAATCCGTCAGTAAAATCATTGGTAATTGTTTTTTCTAAATTTGTTGTTAAAAAATTATTTAGGATATATAATATAAAACTATATAAATTAATTGTAATACAAATCAATTATGCAAATAAAATTTAAATTAAACAAAAAAAACAAAGTTAAATAATATTCATTACAAACTAAATATGTTTCAAAAAAAATATTAAATGAAGTTTTAAAGTTAAATAATGTTGATTACAAATTAATATAAAGCTGGAGCTGGAGGAGGAGGAGGAGATCCTGGAGGAGGCTGGTGGTTATACGGCCAAAAAAGATTAGGTGCACATGTTCCACTATTTGCCATGTTCATAACCATTTCACGGAGCTGTTCATACGCCGCCTTTTATTGTTCAAACTCCGCTTTTTATTGCTCTTGAGACGCTTTGAGTTATGTGTACTCCACTGATAGGTGGTCGTATTTCTCAGTGAGCTGAGTCGTGTGTTGCTGTAAGGCCTCAAACTCCTTAGATTTGGAGCTCGATATTGATTAGGCGCTCCCAACAGTTGAAACACTACGGGTCGACCGCAAGTTGTTGGCCGTAGTGTTGGAGAGCTCGTAAACCCGATTTTTATCGGGTCCACCCGAGGAGCCAACCACCATCCACAAATCCGAATCAAATTCTAGATGGTTCAAAATATTGTCCCCGTATCTCTCCCTTAACCGATTATTATAGGTCTCCTGAAAAAAAAAAGTAATCATCATATTCAATTCAATAAACATAATAACTTACATAATAACTTACAAACTAAAATGGTTGAACAAACATACCACAAAATGTTAAGCACGGTTATCAACAAATTGTTGCACCTCCTTCTGGCGGTCTTGACTCTGCACATGCGTCTCCACAAACAGTTCCATCGGGCTCGGCTCACCTATAATGAAAAAAGATATATTAACAACTAAATTTAATGATATATTTCATTTAAATTAATCTTACCATTCGTTTTGCATGTCCAGCAAACGGAATGGAGCCGCCAGTGTGCGTTGTCACCCCGCCATGAATTGGCCGATTCCAGTTGCCAACACTGGACCGTGAGCG